GCGTGGATTTCGTGGCAGGCGCAGTACTTTGGACCTCACCGTGCAGATTTCTTGGCAGGCGCAATACTTTGTGGACCTTGACGTGAAGATTTCACGGGAGTATTTTGTCCCATCGTATTTTGTCCCACCACCACCACCACCATCACCACCATCACCACCATTAGCACCAGCACCAGCACCATCACCATCACCATCACCTATCACCACCGCCACCACCACCATCACCACCAGCGCCACCATGAACACCACCTGCACCACCACCACCACCATCACCAGCACCCACCTGCACCACCTGCACCACCGCCTGCACCACCACCACCACCACCACCATCACCACCATCACCACCATCACCACCATCACCACCATCACCATCACCACCATCACCACCACCATCGTCACCGCCATCAACTTCATCATCATCGTCACTGCCACCATCATCACTCACCATCACCACCATCACCTCTCTTGAGCCCAGTGACAGTGCGTCTAGATCTCTGGACCTTCTGCTTCCCTCTGGACTTTAAACCTTTAGACACACTGTTTGGGGTCTCTTGCCGGGATAGCTTTTTCAAGGCGACAAAACAAAACCGAAACGACGTGGTTGCTTTGTGTGGTCGCGCCCAGTTCCGCAGATAAGCCTCGCCAAACGAGGCGCCGGGGGAGCAGAGGTGGGACGTCCATATATTTAGTATCGAGCGCCAAATTTTCACGAGGGACGATGTTGGGCGACTTTTTTAGAGACCTAGCAGTAGTGTCTTTGGCAGAATTCAGTTACACAATCCTTTTTGCATTTCTCACTCTAAAATGAGGGGCTGGAGCCCTGGATTTACTACTATTTTGGGTTAGAAACTTTTGTCTATAAAATGCAATCTATTTTTGATGGGATACAGGTGAGAAACTTCTTCAATCTTAGAGTGTTTGTTTTTTTGTTCAGCAAAAAAGTTAACATGAACAGTTTCATTTTATATAGAGGTTTTTTGTTTGAGGGTTCAAGATTTGAAATTCAGAGACAACTAGAGGTGGAGCCAGGCTTCATGGTGAATCTTTTAGTGAATGGGTTCACATACATCACAAGCTTGGTTTGGAATTTTTCAGAGAATATTTTCAATGTCAAGACACTGATTTGGATTCTATGGAGCGCCCGTTCCTTCCGTTGTTTTTTGATGCTCACCTTTCAAGATCAAGGAATGATAAGGAATGATAAGGAACGAAACCTGCAAGCAAGAAATAGCAAGAATAAGCAAGATATAGTAAGATTAGATAAGATTAGGATAGATTGTTGCATCTGATCTCTCTAAAATGACCTCCTCCCACTCTAAAATGGGGGTCCTCTAGAATTGATTTTTTACATGTTTTTTGCCCACCACACGCTGCTTGAGACCTTCATTTTAGAGGTACTGGGGGTCCAGAAGTGCTCGCTTCTAAGGGTTGGGCCCCCCCATTTTAGAGTGGACTGAAACTAGTGGTGATTGAATTTTATAGACAAAACAGGGTACTCCAAATGGGTTTAGGTCTCTAAAATGGGGGGCTCCACCCCTGCACAGAGTTCCTACGGGGATGTTACATATGTATAATCACTTCTCTGCCATGAGCCTTTTGAAATCCCAGGATCAAAGGTCACTTTGTAGATGTCTTGAGAGTGGCTCTTTCCAAAGGGTTCGGGACGTGTATGATCCGGTGGGCGCTGCGGCTCAATCGCCGTCCTGCCCAGTCGTGAACCTGGCCGTCAATATGTTCAATTGCATTGCACGTTGCCTATGCTCGGGCATATTGAGGCAGACGGAAGATGAGACTTTTTATAGCAATCGATTATGTGACGGTGCAACTTTAGGTGCTGCCAGCTGCTTATTGCCTGTGGATTACGGTAACTCACCAGTGGGAGCAAAGCTGTCTAGCTGCTGGAGAACACCAGCCCAGGTTCGTGGCCAAAGTGTTGGGCGCAGCCCGCTTCCAGCGGAACTGCTCGGGTCAGAGGGAGCGTAAGGTCAAAGTTGAGCTGAATTCGTTTGGGGCGAGCCGCAGATCATAGGTTTCCAGTTAGAATCATGGTGTAAGTCTTCGGTCCTACCCTTTTCTCCATCGCCTTGCGTCTGATGAACCTGCATCCTGAGCTGCATGTGTAGACAAAAGCTATCAAACACTGAGTGCAATGGTGTCGCAATTTTGGCTTGTGTGGACAGCCACCCATCCTTTGGCATCCATCCTGTTGGTGTTTTGGACGTCGTTCCCTTGTGGTGTCGCGCACCTGCATTTGAATTGAAACCATTTTTCACCTTGGAATCCTTGGAATGCCATACTATAGGTCTGTAGTTTGGCGAGGCGACTGGTTCAGAAAGGCAACCTTTGAGAGAATTGTCACAATGCCTTTGAGGCGATGCGCGTACATTGCTATGAACTGTCAGGTTCAATCTGTTTTCAGAAAAAACATGAAAACAAATGTCACAATATTAAACAACAACATTCAATTTTTTGCTGCAATCGGAGACGCTGGTCTCACATGGTTTTACATGCTTTTCCTCCGCGAGGAACTCAGCGAACCCCATTTGGCCAACGAGGAGGTCGGCGCGTTTTCGGGTTAAAACGGCATTCGAAATTGGATGGTTTGCGTTTGTTTTGCCAAACGTTGGTAACGCCAGAATGGTATAAAAACCCATCGTGCACTGGTTCGAACCGTTTTTGGTTACACCTCGTAATACATTCATATACGCCGTCTTTTCCATGGATGGAATGCGGTGCTTGATGTCCAAATCGATCGCGGCGCAGGCTCTCAAATCAAGGCCGGTTGGAACTGGATCATACTCCTTAGGGGATGTTCGGCTGGAGTTCTCCAAAAGCGCCTGGTTTTTCAGGAGCTTGCCCGCTTCGTGGATCCCAAAGGCGGCCGCTTTCACCCCGCGCGACCGGGGTGTTCACCCGCCGCGACCGGGATGCGGTGTGTGCGAGCGGCCGACGAGCCGATCCGAGGATCCTGGACATCGCCCGGTGGTGACTGGACACCCCGGACATCGCTTGATTCACATCCATTCATCTTGAGGCGGCCGGACTTCCTTCCTTCAACACCGGACCGTGAGAACTCAGGTCCTGCGAAACGACCGGCTCACGTTGCTTTAAGGCCCGACATGTCGAGAGTGAAGACCCGAAAGCTTCGCGAAGGGGGCGAAGGGGTCAGTTCCTTCGCTTCGCCGAACTGCGAAGTTCGGCGCTCCGTTCGGTTCGCGTCCGATCGCTCCGTTCGGTTCGTAGTAAGGCCAGGAGCCCCCGGTTCGGTTCGCGTGCGAAGGCTCCCGCGTCGGTGCACCACCTGACTCATGCCCACCCTTTTCGTATCACGTCGCAGGCGGTGACCGCGTCGGGTGCTACACCCCCTCCGGTCCACGGCCCCGTCCCCGGGTCCAAGGCAGGCCTTCGGAACGGCCTTCGGAACACCCAGGCTACACCAGGCCTTTACTCACGTCCTTGGTCTCGGCAGTGGGTCAGGGCCCCTCAGGTGTGGGACTGCGCGCGGGTTGGGTGGGTGGGGTCTCAGACTTGGTTCAAGACTCGAGAGGTCTCGATAGGATGTTTGAGACTCAGACCAGGATCTTCCAACAGGTTTTAGAAGCAGAAGTCAGGCGGCTTCTGGGCACCGGACTTGTCACCAGGAAACACCTGTTGGAGGGTCCAGGAGTCCAGGGACATGGTCCCAAGTAGAGGCAACGATCACGGCCACGGCCGAGCGAAATCCCGAACAGTTCAGAACGCAGACGAACGGTCTGCGCTGTCTGCGGAAAGATCGCGCAGCAAGTTGGGCAGCCACCAACTGGCAGCGGACCAGGGAACATGGTACTGTGCTGCATGGAAGTACGATCTTTCAAGACCAATCTGCCGGGACGCACGACAACCCAACGTCAAAGCAGGAACAGAACACAGCAGGAGTCACAACGAACACAGGGGTGGTGACAGGAGTCGCTCCTGGAGGTGATGTGATGTGGCGGTGGGTTCGTTCACTCCTCCTTCCTCCATTCGGGATCAGCATCCAACTCCATATAACTGCTGGTATGGATATCTCATGATCTACGATGTTACATGGGAAAACCTCCAGGTGTTCAGGCTCCAGCAATGTTTCTGGCTAGAATCAGGCCATCGTCAAAAAGTGATCCAGTGGCTCTGATATAGATCATGTACTCCACCTTGACCATTCCATGTCGGGGTGCTATCCATGGAGGAAGGAGTTGGGCGCCCCTGTCACATCCACTGACTTAGGCACTAAACACCACCCCTTTATAACTCCTGGCACGTTGACGATCTTTGATCTATGTGAAAATCACGAGAGTCATCAACAGAATCTCGTCTTTGTCCCTCAGGTCTTTAGTCTACCCAGAGGGAGACTAACACAACATGGGTTGATGCCACAGGTGCAACAATGTATAACACTTGTATATAGTAGATGTACCTTGTATTTAGGAATTGGATGGTATTGGTATGTATATTTGGTCAATTTCATGGATGAACCTCCTTCAGCTTTGCCCCTCGCGGAGTCTCAATTTGCCGGTTCTAGCTTGCACGGCCTAGCCTTGACAGGGCATGAAGACAGCTCAACAACTGCACTTTTCATGGAAGGAACTGCAGCTGAACCAGACTTGTTATTGATCCAAATCTTGCGCTCTTTGCAATGCAAACCTGAACATATTTTATGTTATTCTCTATACCTTGCGCTCCAAGTGCTGGCATTGCAGATCACTTGCTCACAACAAAACTACTCGATGCATCCGACACCCCGACACCAAGGCCCTTGGGGATTCTTCACCTCACATAGATCGCTGCAAATGTTGTTCGACGTGTCGTGTTTCTCATTGCGCAACGTTGCGCAGCATTGCTGCGGCCACGAGATTCTTCACTTGGGTCGCAAATAGACATTTTATTGCATGCCGAAAAAGAGAATGGTTTGACTAGGAAGTCTGGCGACCTGATTTCGGCCAGTTCTTGAAACTTTCTGGACACGCACACCCTCCCCCCACATCTCCCACCGCCCAGCCACCCAGCTGCGGAAGAGCACCCAGCTGCCCTCCACCGCCCTCCGCCATGAATGACCTCGGAGTTGCTGGACTCGGCGCCGTGGAGAACAGCGACGTCGCGGGGCTTCGTCGGGGACGACGATGGACGGTGGGGACAGTCACCCGGCTCAGGAGATGGCCCTCATGTTTCCCTACAAGTCCAGGTTGACCCAGTAAAACCTAGTCTTTTGCCTTATAGTCTTGGTTTATGACCTGACCATCTCCCAGTAAAATGAGGAGACCTAAATCTGGTGCACGGGTTTTTGGGGGTTTCTATGGGTAAACCGGGTCCCTGTGCTTGGACCCGGTTTTCTGGGTCCATCCAGTTTTGGGCCCCCTCTTTCCGGGCCCGGCACAGTCCGGCACAGCGGTAGGCCCATCAGAGCGTCCCGGGTTCGCTCGGTTTCTGTGATAACTCGCAGGTCGCAGAGTGTTTCTCCCTACCAGGCCGATCCGAAAACTTGAGAGGGTACAGGGTTTTAGGCTGCATGAGACCACCAAGTATACAGTCCTCATCGTTCCCAAGACTTAGACATCGTTCCGGGATTCATGGAACGATTCTGTGCGAAAGACCTGAGACCGGCTTAAGTTCGAGTTGCTCCATGTGTCATTTTTCGCCGGATACATGGGGAGTGCATGGGGAGTACACGAGACTAACCACTTTTATAGGGTAGACCTGGGAGCCCAGTTCACTAAGTTCCTGGATTTCCTGCCAAGTACAGTCTTTAAACTTCTCCGGGATTTCTAGGGTATAGGTACAGCCCTTGGGATTTTTGAGGGACGGTTCCCTACTACGAGCTATTCATGTGATTCTGCTTGACTTCCCTCCTCCAAGCAGTCTTCTGAGGTGGATCTAGAAGACTGGGACCCCGCCATCCGCCAGGATGGCTGGGTCTGTGGGCCGCGAAAAAAAAATGGAAACCGAGGAAACCGAGAGGCGGCACGGTCTGTACTTTCCTTTCTTTTCGTGTTCAGTTTGTGGGTTTCGAAGGAACATCTGAAGATTGTTATAGTTTAAAGCTGGGGGAACAGAAGGGCTTCTGAGAAGATAGGTCGACCACCTTTTCGCCTGAACCCGCTTCGGGAAACAACACAGAGACATAGGGCCATCCCTACAGGAAACAATATATGCTATCCCACTATTTTGTTTCATTGATTTTGTTTGGTTTTGTTTTGTTGTTTTTCAGCTGAAACCTGGTTTTATCATTTCATAGAGGCTTCACTTGTCCATCCCTCAAGTGATCTCTTACTATTGGAGGATCTGACTTGGCGTTCTATAGAAACACCTTGCCAGTCATTTTATAGATACTTTATCTCTTGCAATTCTATAGACACCATTTCTCTGTAACATGCTCACACGTGATCCCAGTGGTTTATCGCATGGAGGATGGGTTCAGGTCAGACTACTAACCATCATCATCCACTGGGCCCTGGTTGTCTGAGATATACCCAACCCTAAGAATCCTCAAACAGGTGGGCTTTGGGAACCGTGCCCGGACCCCTGCGTTAAGGTGGAGAAGGTCCGACCCCTGCCATGGAGAGCCCGTTCGGGTTCATAGGGAAGGCCATGGGAACGTTTGGCCCCCCCCGACCGGAGTCCTGAAGCGCGATCGAAGCCGAGGATGCCTGGGGTGCCTGGGGTACACTCGGATCTTAACATGGTGATGTGGAGATTCACCCCCTGTTTTCTACCAGCACCGAAACCAACAGGTCTCCTTTCGATACGGAGGGTTGGGAAGGGCCCTGTCACAGATTTCAGATCACCAAATTGGTGACCTGGCAGAGTCGGTGCTGGTAGAGGAAAGTAGTCTTCCAACACCCCCCTTCTCCACGTAACCATGTTTCTTTTGACCTCGTCGACCTCGTCGACCCCGGTCGACCCTACCACCTCCAGGAGCTGGCGGCTCTGCGGGGACGGCTGGTGGCGCTGCAACGGAGGCAACAGGCGAAGGCGACGCCGAAGCAGAGGGGGCTGCGAAGAGGAAGAGAACACATGGTACATGACCACATGGCCAATGGGTGGTTGGTTTGAGGAAGATGGGTCGTTTGTTGTCCAGAAATGATTGGTTGTGCAGGTTGGTTTGGAAGACTCCGGACCTTGTGCTGTCCTTGAGTCGAGAATGGTGCCTATATAGACTTTAGATGAAGAACACCCCTTCCAACAGCGGACGAGGTCCACTTGGTATAGACTTTTTTCCACCTCAGGATCTCTCAGGAAAATGGTTTCTCCACCATGATTTAGGGTTGTGAACCAATCATCCACCGATTCGACCACTCACCAGTCTCGGTCACATGCGGTTTGTGCTCGTGGTGCTTTATGACTCGGTTTCATCCAGATCCCGAAACAGTTCTGGATGGAACTCCAGAGTCTGTCATGCAAATTGATCTCCCCAGACGCTCCAAACAGCCCTTGGGTCCCTCAAAACCATAGGGATTTGAGGGTCCGACCCCTCCATATCAGGGTCCGACCCCTGCCAGGGTCCAGGAGCGTCTGGGTCAACCAGCACCTTCCGTTCGTCCGGTGGTTTCTGGACACCCCGACTCACCACTAAGAGGCTATTGTCTAGACACCTCGAACGGTGTCGGTCCTGGAAGATATCTCAAGGAAACCGTATTGGCCACCTTCTTCAGTTGCGTTTTGGAGTCGGTCTCAAACCAGGCCGGAAAACTGGTGACCAGGCCGCACGGGAGATCGGCACAACCACGGAAGAACCAGGGGAGCAACCACTGGTTTCCCCCTTTTTGGTTTCCCGGTACCTGAACCCGACTGACCCAGTACCTAAAATGGGACCTGACTCGACCGTACGACTGTATATACGTTCCGAGGTACGAAGGGATCGACTCCAGGTAGATCTTCGGGTTTACCTTCCCTAGGGCTCCAACCACCTCCTGAGAAGATGGTTGGGGTGGGTTTGGGGGGTCTAACCACCTTCTGAGGATATGGTTGGAGCCTTAGGGCTTAGTCACTGTAAGACCTCTCAGGAGGTTTACGATGTCCGGTTTCCGGTCCTTCCTGGCACGAGGCAAACTCTTGCGCCACGAAGTTTGCCAGCAGTACATCGACAAAAACATGGCTTCATGTATTCTATATGCAGCTATAGGATTTCATCCTTCAACAGTATACCTGGATCTTCCAACTATATATGACTATATATGCACTATTTCTGACACCTACCAGCTTGGCGCTCGGCAGACATTTTGCGGACGATCCGAGCTGATCCAGCTCTTTTGTCGCTTGCTTCGCACCCAGCTCCCAACACAGGTTGAATGACCCGAACTAGACTATCCCAGTTGGGTACCCCAGGTAGCGAAAGGGCCCTAGTTCAGGTCATGCTTAAGCCCCCTCTCTGAAGCTCCGCGAACGGCTCGGATCGAACGATCGTTTTGTAGTCTTGAAGAGTCTAAAGCTAAACAGCTCACCGCTCCATATGCCGAAGATCTCCCTGCATCCCTACATCCCAGACAGGTCTCCCGGTCCGCTCCTTTGGGCCGCGCGACGTCGTTCGTCGTTTCAGGAGCTGATCTTCCAAGAGTCGCAGCAGCAACTGCAGCATGAGATCCATGCGGCGCGTGAAGGGAATCAGACCCTGGTGCAGCAGCTGACGCCTGGACGGATCCGGAGTTACCGGTGGGAACTCGAAGCCATCCAAACACCTGCAACAAGGGAGTCGAAACCGAACCAAAGCCTCGCTGTTCACAAGGTTATTTTTTTGTGTTTTTTTTTGAATCTGAAGCAAACCCTGTCGTTTTTGGGCATGTTTTGGAGGGTCCGGATCCTATCCTGGCACATTCCGAGTCACGTCGGGTCACCGTTTGTAAGTCAGACATCGTCTTGGAACTTGGAGGGAAAAGACCACCGACTTCCTTGGGCGAGATGAGACCGAGGACGGGACCTGCCGAGGATGGGACCTGCCAGATGGGACTCCATCATACGTATGGAGTCGGAGACTGATCTGATCTCCGAATCCGACACATCAAAAATATCCCAGATGGATGCTCCGTGTTCGTGAGTTCACAGCCCGACTGGGTCCCGAAGCAAACCGGGATTGGTGAGAAGGTCCAGACCCCTCCATCGGTTCGGGTCCCGGGTCGCGTCTGGGTATATATACCCTAAGAATCCGAGTCCGTGCCGGGGACACTGAAAGGCAGGGGGAAAACAGGCCCGGTTCCCAAACCCTGTCTGTTTGAGGGTCCGGATTCTGAGGGTAGTGCTTTATTCATTCGTGTAAAGCACCCCGCACGTGGCTATAATTTCCAGTTGCTGCCTCTACTAGTTACTCTGCTGCGACACAAGCCCTTCTCCCATAGAAGTTCTCCAACCTGACCACTCCCCAAATCTTACACCATGCAGCAAAAAGCTGACCATGTTCACTCTGGCCTCCAACCTACTAGTTCCCCTCAGGCTGCAGCTCCAAGCCGCCGGCGCGCGCGGCCCGGCCACCGAGCTGGCGGAGGCTCTGGCGCAGGAGGCCTCGGCCGCGGCGGAGGCGGCGGCGTACGCCGCGGAGCTGCTGGCGCAAGGGAGGGCGGTGGAGCAGCTGCGCGAGGCGAGTGGGGTGGGGAGGTGGTGTTTTGGGCCCACACGGTGCCCAAACCCGGAACGGGCTCAGGCCCAAAAAAGACTCCTGCCATAGGTTGGAGGCCATCTCTACTAGGTTGGAGGCAACGGTGACACCGGAATCGGACGGAGACATGAGCGCTTTTGGTACCCGGTTTGTTCCCACATGTGGAGCTTCCACGAAAGACGTATATAATTCTTGGAAGAAGTGTGGAGAATTGGAACACCCTAAGGATCCGCACCCTCAAAAACAAGGGTTTTGAGGGTACATGAGGGTACAAACCCTTGTTATAGAGGGTTCGATCCCTTCTAAGGAGGGTCCACGGATCCTTAGGGCACGTCTATATCATAGATAGCTGCAAATAGCTGCAGATTCACCCGATTGATCCCGATTAGTGGGTTCCGGACCCTCTTGGTAGGCAGTCACAGCCTGGCCACACAGAGCCTACCCCTCAGGAGCTGGACCAGAGTGCAGTGGGAGCCCGCGCACGCGGAGTGCCCCGCGGGCCTCAAGCCGTCGAGGGCTTCGCGCGGCAGCAGGTGGCGCTGGAGGTGGGGACACCTTCGCGGCCCGATCGAGCTCGGAACCGAATCGTTGGGTCGACGGTCTGGGGGGGTTCTCACCAATCCCCTTGGTTTTGAGGGACCAGTCGGCGCGTATTGAAAGTATAGCATCTGAGTGGGGTGGAAAGATGGGATGGGGATCAAGGGGAAGGTGGGCTGCAGTCCAAACGTTTGGAGAGTTGTTCATGGACGGTGTCGGACGGAGTTCGTCGACACGAGGTGCCCTGATGTCCAGGATCAATGAACCCTCAAGGTGCCTCCAGCTCCTTTTCATCTTCAGGTATCTCAGCTCGCTTTTGGAACGTGGCTTCTGGACACCCCGTATACATCACCTCATATCACAATTCCGACTTATTCGATATGCCCCATCGTCTCAGTCGTTCGCATTCCGGTCCTGGTTTCGATGACCTGGTCGCTTCTCCGTCGCTTCAGGACCCTCAGATGACGGGTGTGAAGCTCCAAAGCTCGAGCGAAGCAGGGTCCAACACACCAACTCAGGTTGAGTGACCCGTGACTATCCCAGTTGGGTACCCCAGGTAGCTCGGGTCCTTTGGTCGGTCACTGGACCTCTCTTGGCATGTCCAACAGCCGTGTCCGACCGCTCCGTTCGTCGCGGTGCCCGCTAAGGCTGGCGCCCCCGTCCGACCTGCGTTCGTGCGCACTCGCGTCCAGTGCGTCGCGGCTCCGGCGCTCGCAGGAGCAACGCCTGCGGAGAGGAATCGCCCAGGCGCGGCAGGAGTTGGACGCTGCCAGGGCCCAGAGCGACGCCAAGGCCTTTCGGAACGAGCTCTTGGAGGAGCCGATTCCACGCAATGCGCTTTTGGAGGCGTTTACTTTGCATGTTGTATTATTACAGATTTTACGATTTTACGGATTTCAGGTTTTGGTGCGAAGGGAGAGGCGAGTGTTTCGTATCCTTGGAGCATCCATGAGCATCCAATCTTTCAAGGTTCGGACCCCCTGAAAAGCCTATAGCGCAGCCTATAGATCTATACCAGCACCTTCCAACAGGTGGTTTCTGGACACCCCTTAACCACTAAGAGGCTATTTATATAGACAGCTCTTGGAAGGTCCTGGTATAGAGTTCATGATTCGGATTGGGTGGCTGGATACCTGCTGAAATTTCGGGGGGCGACGCTTCCCGAAACTTCCATTGAACCTTTCGTGACATGAGTGGGGGGAAGGGTGCTGTTTGAGTGGCAAACATGGGAGAGAGTGGGGGGGAAGGGCACGCAGAAGCTGTGACGTGTTTTGGAAGGTGGTTGTTGCTGTTGTTGTTTGTTGTTTCAAAAAAGATGCCAGCAGACTTCCTGGTTGAAAAACCGGGGGTAGGACAGTAACATGGGGATTCACCAAGTGGCGCGATCAGGGATCAGGGTGGGTTTCTCGAAGGTGGCATTCATTGTTTTTGCTCGAGCGGCGGCGTTCGGCGGTTTCTCAGGAAATCGGAACAAAAAACCTTAGAAGTCCAGTTTGTCCAAAGACTATGCTATCCCCGCTTTCCCTTAGTGAATTAAAGGAAATTCCCGAACTCAGGTCCCCTAGTCAGACCATTGCCATTCTTTTTATAGTGTTTAGCTCCCTGGGTATACCATAATAATATATTATACTTAATGATCATCAGATGTGACAGATGACAACAACATATTACTATCCCTGTCAGTCTAGACAGCCTGTGATGATCCATTCAGATCTTTTAGAAGACGCTTGATGTTGTTCGGTACGGCCATGATCCAATCCCTGCTTGTTCCTTTGAACATCCATTGAGAGTGGGGATTCTGTTCAAGTCCTTCTTTAGTGTGATCACAGAAAAAGCCTATGGCAATGGAGATTTCTTTCATGCAACTCAATGGAGAAACTTTTGCTCTGAGAGTACTCCCAGAGATGACTGGCCGGGAACTGAAGCAGCAGATCAAAGAACGCCAGGTTTGGAAGGATGAGTTCACTCGTAGAACCACCCGGATAGAGGTCGTGGTCGGCAAGGACCAGTTGCTAGGGATGGACGAGACACTGGCAGATGCGGGTTTTTCTCCGGAGTCAAAAGCCACGGTAATTTTGAAAAAGAATGCCCTGAGGTGCTCCAACGCTAGTGACTTTCCTCGCTTTGGCCGTGCGATTGACTTGGAGTCTCCCATGGTGCTGGAAATCCCAAACGATGTCAAAGCCATTGATCCAGGCGCCTTTGACGGCTGCAACATGTTGGCCAAGTTGGTCATCCCCAAGTCAGTGACTGCCATTAAGTACAGAGCCTTTGCTGAATGCAGCTCTTTACCAAGTGTGACCCTCCCTGACTCAGTGATCCAAATTGGCATCGCTGCCTTTGCAGATTGCAGCTCGTTGGCAAGTGTGACCATTCCCAACTCAGTGACTGACATCGGCATTGCTGCCTTTAAAGGTTGTATCTCATTGGCAAGTGTGACCGTTCCTGACTCCGTGACAGATATCGGACATAATTCCTTCCGTGGCTGCAGCTCTTTGGCAACTGTGACCATCCCCAACTCAGTGATCCACGTTGGCATTGCTGCCTTTGCAGACTGTAGCTCGTTGGCAAGTGTGACCATTCCCAACTCAGTGACTTGTATTGAGAATCAGGCCTTTGCAAACTGCAGCTCTTTGTCCAGCGTGACCATCTCCAACTCCGTGACGGATCTGGGAGATGATACTTTCCGTGGCTGCAGCTCTTTGGCAAGAGTGACCGTCCCCAACTCTGTGACCCGCATTGGGATGTGTGCCTTTGCAGACTGTAGCTCGTTGGAAAGTTTGACCATCCCCAACTCAGTGATCTGCATTGGGGATGGAGCCTTTGCAAACTGCAGCTCTTTGAAAAGTGTAACCATCCCTGGCTCTGTGACCGAAATTGGGGATGAAGCCTTTGCAAACTGCAGCTCGTTGTCAAGAGTGAACATTTCCAAGAAAGTCAGCCACCTCGGGGCTGATGCCTTCGCAAACTGCAGATTGTTGGCCAAACGCCGTCGTACTGGTTGATACGACTTCTGAAGCACCGCACGGTGCCTCTTCCCGTACTCCTTGGCGCCGGGATGGTCCCCGGTGCCTCCAACATCCTCCAACCACCTATTGGCACAGGTTGGCGCGCGCGCATGATGTACGCATGATACATGGCTCCCGGCAGCCACCAAAGAGTGCTGCGCGCTGGCACTTCGACGTAGCGAGATGGAGTGCAGATGGAGTGCAGCGGTGAACACCGGGCGGGCAGGATGCTTCCCATTTAATTCGTCCCGTTGGAGGGAAATTGCTTCGGCCCGGTGAGCGACTCCGTCACCCAAAATCAGTGAGCCTGCCCGGTGGGCGACTCCGGACCCCTCAAACAGATGGGGCTTGGGAAGCCGGGCCCGGACCCGTTTCGGTCCGACCCCTGCCATGGAGAGTCCGGACTCGGATTCTTAGGGTGAATAGGATCCGGACCCTGGAGAACAAGGGTCCGGTCTTTGGAGGGTCCGAACTCGGATCGTTGGGGTATGATCATGGGCACGCCAAGTCCGTCCTCCGTTCGAGCTTTCTTTGAACAGTCACATGGAGTTGGGTGGCTTTTGAGGGGCACATGGCCCGGAAAAAACTGGTTTTCCCTGGCAACAAATAGGGTTTCTTTGTGTGAAAACCTCTATTTTTCATGGTAAATTTGAGGGCCACTGGGGGCTGAATGGGCTCGAGGATGTGATCTGTGACGGCACGTTTTCGATTTGGGGCACTTTTGGGCCTTCCGAACCGGGGCGTTCGGTCGTCGGTGCCCCCGACCCGACCACGGAAGCACCTGCAGGAGGAAGTGGAAGCCCTACGGACCACGCGGGAGGCGCAAGGCAAGATCAACGCCATGCCGATGGACGGCATTCAATACCAGCACCGACTGCCAGGTCACCCATTGAAACCTGTTATATAGGGCCTTTGCCAACCCTCCATTTTCGGAGATCTGTTGGTTTCGGTGCTGGTACGTGGCAGGGTGATGCAGGGTGAAGTGTTCCTGTGGGGCACATCCTCGGAGGGAGGGTCGAAAGACTGACGCTAGGGCCTCTAGGGATGCAGATCGTAGCCTAGACCACCTACACCCCGACCCCCGACCCTCAGACCACCTACAGATCTCAGTGTACACCGAAAACGTACTGCAGGGTTTTTCGGGTGGATCTGTGGATCTGTGGATCGATGAGGATGCGCTCTGCCCGGGTCGTTCCAACAATCATGCCTTGATTGAATGTTAAGAACACCACTTAGGCTATTTTTCCAAATAATGTAATAAGAAAAGCAAAAAAGCGAAACACAAAGCAACTACAAAAAGCAAAAGCAAAAAAGACGAATCCAAAAAGCAAAAAAAACAAAGGAAAAAATGCAAAAACAATAATACAAAAAGCAAAAAACAAATGAAAAAGCAAAAGGAAAAAACAAGAGCAAATCCAAAAAGCAAAAAACAGCAAGTGAACAAGCAAACAGCGAAACAAAAAATCGCGAAAAAACAAATGAAAGAGCAAAAAGCGAAAACCATGCGAAAAAACGCGGAAACAATGCGGGCAATCACAAAAGCGAAAAAACAGTGGACAAAAGCGAACAAAATGTGGTAAAGAAAAAACATTGAAAAACGCACGGAAAATTGCTTTTGCTCTTTGGATTTGCTTTGTTTTCTTATCTTTTGCTTTTTCATTTTGGATTTGCGTTTTTGCTTTTGCTTTTTCATTTTCTTTTTTTTGCTGTTTGGATTTGCTCTCTTTTTTTTTGCTTTTGCCTCTGTGCAGTCTTCGTCCTCTGACTCGCTCGACGGCGGCGTTTCCGAAACATACCCGTCGTTTTGGGTATACAATATTGGAAGGTCCTGGTTCACCTGCAGTTTGGACTTTTGACCATTAAAAGAACAGGATGATCGGTGGTGCTACGCGCCCTCCAACAGGTCTCCTAGCTCTGGGGGCTGAAAGACTTAATGAGACTGACAAAACGTCGCAGGTGACCTGTGAAGTCGGGTCCTGGTAGGTGAAACAATGGTTCGTTGGGATTCAAACCATTCAAATCAACATCGCCGGACCCAGGCTAACTCTGTGAATCTTGAAAAAAAGCAAACAACAGCAACTACAAAGCACCAATATTAAATACATCGCCCGCAAGCATCTGGACAGATCCCGCGACGCACCCGGACGCAAATCTCGCATGGTTCTTGCACTTGCAAGAGGCTGGAACAAAACACTCATTGTTGTGTTGGATGCAATAGCGACGCTTGTCGCGAGCCTGAACCCGGAGCCCCAGCGCCTGTCCTTAAAAGCCGCCCAGCAGCTCGTTGCGGCGAAAGCGAACGCAACGTTCCGGGTTAGCGACGAGGTGAGGTGCAATGTGAGCCAATCATACTTTTCAACCGGCAAATCACCGTGCCGTGCAGGACAGGGACACGTCCGGATGAGCCGGGGAAGATGTTCGATGAGCAGTGAACATCGTCGCAGCCGGATCTTGGCCAGAATTGTTGACGCATCAACAGACGTCGGTTGTGTAGTATAGCCGTGGCAATAACTGGAAGCACGTGCCGGGAAGGGTCTGCACATGCTTGTGCACAACTTGCGCAGGTCGCGCTAAGGACAGCCTCCAACCTAGAAGCGATTGCTTGCGAAAGCTCTGGACAGTTGTTGACAAAGCTTGCTTGATCAGTTCCGGCCGCCCGTTGAGGAGCTGCGACCAGCTGAAAAAGCTACAAAACACATGTTCTTTTTGATAGCTATGAAGATGAAAGATAGACACATATATGTCTATCTAGCTACCTATTTATCATTATTTGTTTATCTATCTGTGTATATATTCAAGTATCTTTCAATTGGAACGCACTTATCTCGGTGTTTCCGACGCCGGCTGCGAAGCAGAATATCGGCTGCAACAGTCATTCCTCGAATCTATGACCTTCGCGCTCCCACCATAACTGATGCCAAGGGTTCGCCTTCCGTGGGACGCTATTGCAAATCTTTCTATCAAGGGAAACGTGAGGCCGCGCAAAATGAGGGAAAGCACGAAAAAGGACAAAGCAGCATGGAATTGTTGTTTCATGCTTGAAGCTTCCCGAGGGATAGAAGAGCGCTTAGAACAAAAGAACAGAAGATGCAGATATAAATTAAAAAGTTTTCTTGCACACTCTATGAAGATGGAACCATTACCACACACAATAGCGACGCTTGTCAAACAGCCGCGCGCGGATTTTCGCATCGCGCAGAATTCGGTCATGTGTCACGTTGCCTGATACGCAAATGTGAAAGGCACTGATACCGAATTGGGATGTGTCGTTGGAGGTTCTTCGGTGTTAACCTTCGTTCTATTTGGGTGATTTGTTTTCTGTGCTTCATTCGGTATGTAAAGTTGATTCTTGATGCCTGGGCCATTCGTTTGGTTGGGTGCTCTTGTCTTGGAGTTAGTTCGTTCTTTCTGGGCTGTGGTGATTGGTTGGGCGCGGTGGTGTGAAACCCGAGGACTGATGATTGTTAGGAAGTTCTTGTCTGCACGTTTCTATCAGTTAGGCGATCGGTAGAAAAAGGTTTGTATTTTTGAATTATCGTGATTGGCGTTCTTATTCTTTGTTGCTGTTGTTGTTGTGGTGGCTGTTGTTGTAATTCTACTTTTCGTTGTCGTTGTAGTCATGGTTGTTCTGGTCGGTATGGTTATGTTTGGTTTAGCGTGGGTTGTATGTACTTAGTCCCTCAGCGGGCAACCTTTAAAATTTCCTATTGGGGAGGAGCAGGGCGCAACAAAAGTCAAAGGGCAACATGCTTGGGAGCTTTGTGTTACATAGTTTTTACAGGAACCGGAGACAAGGAACACAATGAGGAGCAGAAGCAGGAGGAGGGCGAGGAACAGGACAAGGAGCAGAACAAGGATGAGGACGAGAAACAGGACGAGGAGCAGAACGATAAGGCGAGGACATCAACCAGAAACGTGCTTCAACGCCTTCGCTAGCGTGTGCGAAAAGACACAATGGGTTTCAGTTCCATTGGCACCGTCGCTCACTGTTTGATGTGGCGATTGCCTTGTGATTTTTATTGGACTGCAGCGACGGGTGGCGCAGCCTCCAGCTGTTTTGTTCCCTCTCTATATTTTGCAGTTTTGCTTGAGGTTTGGGGTTTGTCTAAAGTATATTTTCAATCTTTGAACGCTTTCTGATGAAAATTGGAGCCGTTCATGTTTGATTTGTACTTGTCATTCATATATTGATTGACTTTGAGTGATGTCACGCGACCGCGACTGCGTCACGCCGTGCGCTGGCAGTACCTGTTTGAAGTTGAACCACCTCCCCTTTGTGACGGGCCGGCCCACAGCCCCACAACCTGCGACAAACACCACGGCAGCGCCCCCCCACAACGAACGAGTCTTTGCAAAAGCTTCCGGCTGACACTGCCCCCCCCCGCCACAACGGCTCAGCCCCTCTTCGCAGCGGCGCCGCGACGAAACCTGACTGCGACCCTCGTCACGCGAGCTGCCCGACCCGGAAGCTGTCGCGAGCAAGGCCCTCTCGCAAGTCTGCGCCGAATGTCTTGCGTCACACGCCCCCCAAAGCGCGGATCACCAGCGCCAGACCCCCCCACAGCCAACCACCAGATCGCGCCCGCACCACCGCCACCGCCGACTACAACACACCACCGCCGCCCCACCCCGCCAACACCGTCCTACATCGCTGTCATCCGCCGTCACGTCCCTCCGTCCGGCGCGCGCGACACACAAACCCAAAATGAACCAGAATCAGCGGAAACGCAAAAACTGCAAAGAGACGGCCGGCGCAGCCCTACGCGCATCCTTGAAGCCCGCAACTGGTCAAAAAGCGCCGCTGCGAAAACTTCGATTTGGAAGTAGCAGGGGTTCAAGCAACGGGTTTGCCTGTGAAGGCCAGCAAGGGCCGGGCATGAAAAGTAAAGGCGCCTTGCGTTTCGTGGTTTGGTCGGATTTGCCTGCCCTTGTGGCTGGCCCGGCAAGCTTGCAGTTCCCCCCCAGTCCTACCTGCGCACCGTTCAACTGCCAGTGGTTTCCGTGCCGTTCACCTGTTCGCTTGGGCAAGACACGTTGTATGTACCCTGGGTGATGTTTTGTCGTTGCGCGGTTGCGCGGTTTTGTTTTTTTCCTGGGGATTGGATTGATTGAACTAACATCAGGACATTTAATTTATACCCTGGCAAGTGCCTGGTTGCGCAGCTTAGTGTTTATTAATGACTCAGACTGGCCGGCTGAGCTCAACTTTGTCACGCGGCGCATGGTCTGACCGTTGTGTTGTTGCATGGTTGCACTGTTGTGCTCTGTCAGGGTTTGTTGCCACTGATGTTGTAGCTTTATTACGTTGCCTGGTTGCTCTGTGGTTGGTTCAGACTGGCTAGCCCAGCAGAAGCAGTTTGCTGCTTTGACTCTGAGTTTTTCAAGTTAATAAGTTTGTGGCTTCTGTGGCGATTCAGAGAAGGGTTCGTCTTATTATACAATAAATTGAGGCAGGCCCTCCAGCAGGGGCTTCAACCGCCGGCAGGCTAAAAAAATTAAGTCTTACTAATGAAGCCGACGACAGAACCGTGCTTTTTCTATGCCGAGGTCGCGCTGCAGCAGTCAAATTACAAATTAGTCGGAAGCTTTCTGTCCGATGAGCCTGTCCATAGACCTGCAAAAATTATTGAGGGCATTCACATTGTCGGCAATGCATGCCTGCACTGAGGGATCTGTTCCCATCATTAATTCATGCAATGCAGCGCTGGCTTCTCTCACCTGTTCCATAGCGTCTTGCACCTGCGCAATTGCGACCTGCTTTACAGCAGCATCTGCCCCACTCACCAACTCCCACTCTTGTTGAGCCGTAGGCTCGTCAGGGGCGGTCTGAGTGTCGCCAGCCT